TGTGTCCAGACTCCTGCACACACCTGCCCTCTAGGGCTCTGCAATGATCATACACCCTTACCCCACCACCTAGATACTTAAGAACTGCATAGGGGAAACTGAGGCACCCCCACAATATTCGGAGGAAACATTAAGAACAGGCCCACTTCGTCACAGCGGGCCAGGCTGAAAGCACTGCTGTGTATTCGACATGACACCGCTGCTGACTTGGGTCCCTTGAATATCCCTGAAGAGGCTGGTTCTCTCCTCACTTATCCTGTGGGCCCATCAGCCCACTGATCTCTCTGGTCTAGGCTGGTGCAAGCGAGAGGTGAGCCAGGTGCTCGGGGGCAGCTGGACAAAGGTTTCAGCACCTAAGGAGCAGGATAGGCACCTAGAGGGATTTTCAGAAGCACCTGGGTGCCTAACTCCCTTGGGAGGTGAACATACCAGCAGGTGCCTTTGTGCACCTAAATCCCTTTGTCCACCTGGCCCTGAGCGGTTTCCTCCCCCTCGTTACATTTAGAGCTGCGTGAATTACCCATTGCAAACAATCCCCGCCCCTCAGATCAGACGCTGGATAAACGTTCTCCAGCGCAGTCTGACTGGCGGCCACATACCCGCTCCGGATTTCTGTCCCCTGCCCCTGCTGCTGTGTGCGTACAGCCTGTCTGCTGCTCAGGGCAGGGACTTGACTCTGCCAAGTTCTCACTTGCTAGCTAAAATTTTGATGCCAAGCAGATTAAAAACACCAGCCCCACACGACTGTGTTTCCCTCCTGGAAGCAGATGTCTGGCAGGCATCTGGACAGCCCAGCCCAGGCCTGCCTTCCATCGGAGCTGTGAGGGCCAGCACTTGGCACCCGAGACGGGCCCTGGTGTCTGTTTGGCCTTGCCGGACCAATGTCACATCACTGCCCTTGAATGCATCCATCAGCTTCTCCCTCACTCTGGGGTTGGTCCTGGGGTGCTGGAAATCCCTGGGGCCAGTTACAGGGCTACCAATAATCCCGGCCCGCTCCTGGGGTCCCCTGGCTTCGCCCACTGCTTTGCAGCATGTTGGTGAGCCGCAGCGCACTCAGCTGCCGGCACTCGGGAAGCACCGGGGCACCCGCCAGGAGGCAAACAACCGCAGCAGCCCCTGTCAGAGCTGCACCGCGGACGGAATGCGGCTTGTAAAGCTGGACTGGCCCTCAGCAAGGGACGGCCACGTGCCCCCTCGCCCTGGGCAGCCAGGGATTCGCCTGCATCCCGGGTGGCGAGGGACCAGAGCATGGGCACCCGCTGGGTTTGATTCTGATCTCACTGCAGGCCGCAACCAAGGCCAGGTGACATCAGTGGGGACTTGCCACAGCTTCCGTGGCTCAGGACCGTACCTGGGGCGGGGTTGTACCGGCGCGGCGTGAATCAGAATCAGGCTCTTGATGCCCGGCCTGCAGCAGGCCTGGCTCTGAGCAGGCTCCTGCCAGTGTAAAGCAGGAGGAATTGGGCTGATGCCAATGCCCATCCATGAGCAGAGGGCGCTGCTTAGGCACAGGGGGCTGTTCTAAAGGAACAAGTATTCAGTGAAGCACGCGTGGGCCCTGATTCATCCAGGTGCACGTCGCTCCAAGCCCTGGGGCCTTTGTCAGCCTCGGGTATCCCACCCGCCCACTCGCTCGTCGACCCTCAGGCCCCCAAAGCTGGGCCAGGAGCTGTGCAATGGAGACACCTCCCTAGCAGCTGTGCCAAGCCTCCTCCTGTGTGGATCAGGCACCCATAGCCCCGAGCGGCGGGTTACCCAGCCCAAAGGCTGCCCGGGCCCCGGGCTGCGGGTGCAGGGGGCTGAGTTTGCTGTGTCACCATTAGGCCATGTTTCCATCACCACCCCAGCCCTGGCTCCGGCCGCGGATCAGGGTGCTCTCCCCTGCAGGAGGGAGTGACCGGCTGCCCCACAACCATCGGAGAGCCTGAGGGGCAGCAGAATGGAGAAGAGGCAGGAGGAGCCGTGCTAATCTGGGCCGAGCTGAGACCCTTCTCCTGTGGGCTGGGCGGGTAGGAGCTGGGCTGAGCTGCTCTGGCTGTGGGTCCTGCCCACACCTTCCCCTGGCCGGGCCAGGTGGGGCCGTGCTGAGCTGGGCCGGGGCAGCAGACCCTCTCTGCAGAGCTCACACCTGGTGCCTTTCCCTTCCCAGGGGAGGTCCCTGCGTTGGGAAAGCCAGTGCTCCTGTGGCAGCTGGAGGTGAAGGAGTTGCTGGGTGCGGCTGGGGCAGGCCGTCTGGTGGCAGGAGGGGAGGAGAGCTTGCGACTCCCATGCAACTTTCAGATCCGCCCATCTGGCCCTAGCTCAGCCCGGGGCGAGGCAGGGGAAGGGACCAGACTGACGGCCCGGGACATCCCAGGCCAGAGAGAGCGGGAGGTGGGCGAGGACCAAGGGAAACCCAAATGCATAGCAGCAGCTCCTGTGACGTCACCTTCTCCCAGCGCTTCCTTTCCCCAGCCTGGGGGCAGGCAGAAATTAACCCCACAAACACAAGCCGCACTCAGCTATAAACCAACACTAACCCTCCAATAGTACAGGGGACCATTTGGAGGGCCTCAGTGGGGAGCCTCCCCCCCTCAGCAATAAGACAGAGTGTTGAGTCCCCAGGGCCTAGATATACAGAGGGACACTCTCCAACCCAGTAAAGAATCCAAACAGCCCCCAGTCTCCCAGTCCGCTGGTATCTCAGGAGGATGCTAAATAGCAGGTACTGAAGTTTGCTACTAAATCTTTAAATCAGCAGGTTCAGAAAACTTCCATCCAAGGGTTTTAAAAGGGTTGGCTGTGGAACTCACTGGACTATTAAAGTTTCATTTTCAGTAAGTTCCAGAACATGGGAAGAAAGCTAATATGGCAATATTCAAAACAGGTAAACAAGATGACCCAGGGAATTATGGGCCTGTCAGTGTGACATTGATCCCAGGCAAGATAAAGGAGCAGCTGATATGGGACAAGGATAGCAGCGGCCCCGGTTACACTGACAGGGAGCGCAGCAGCCCCCGTTGGTGTGGGTACAGTAGAGTCTTTGCCTGACCCAGAACCTCAGCAGCAGCAGGAAGAGCAAACGCTGCCCGTGGCCCAGCCGCCAGCAAGGAGAAGCCAGCGCTTTCAGGTTTACACACTGGACCCGCGGTGGCTGCAAACAGCCCTTTGAATTCGATGCTGCCGCCATGGGTGGCAACGTGAGGGAAGGACGTAGCCTAGGAAGCGAGGGGTAGGGGGGTTGCTCCGGCAAGTGGGGCGTGAGTGAGGGGGCAAACGGTGGGAGAAATCCGCGGTACAGTTACAGTCTCTGCGGTGTGTCAGCCAGCGCGAGCTGGGGAGTGCTCGGACACGTCCCCCAGAGGCCGTGGAGCTGTGCACCGCAGCCTGGGTGCAGGGAAACGGGTCCGTGCTGCTGGTCAAATGGGCGACCGGAAGGGCTCTGGAGGCATCCGCCAGGCTGCGGGGACTGGCAGCGGGGGGGGGGTTCCCTGACGAGACCAGACATTATAAAGGCCCCCCCCCATTCTGTTCGCTTCCAGTGCCCTCTGAGAGCACAGGCAAGTCTCCCGGGCCCAGGCAGGAAAGTCCCAAGTCACCGGGGAAGGACTGCACCTTTGCGGTGCGCTTGGCCACGCCCTGGTGCAAGTGCCAGGTGCTGCACATACGCAGCTCTTTCATGGCAGCAGAACGGGGCAGGGGGTCCGTTATGTGGGGCGGCGGAACAGTTTGCTGCTTCTTGCCCTCTGGTACAGTGTGGGGGGCTGAGCCGCTCAGCACCAGCCATGAGCACAGGGTGTAGGAACCGGGGGCACAGGGAGGAGGGATGTGCCAAGGGAACACAGGGAGGCTGGTGAGAGGGAAACAGAGCCATGGGGATGGCGGGTTGCCCCTGGAAGGCAAGAGACGGCATCTGGGAAAGAGAGGAGGGGCAGGCGAACCTACTACAATGATACACCCCCTCACGCGCGCGTGCACACACGCACCCCCTCCCCTCACATCCGCACGCACACACATGCTCACACATCCCTCCCCTCACACACAGCCCTCACACCCACAGACACCCCCCCACACACAGACACACACGCACCCCCCTCCCCTCACATCCGCACGCACACACATGCTCACACATCCCTCCCCTCACACACAGCCCTCACACCCACAGACACCCCCCCCACAGACACACACGCACCCCCCTCCCCTCACATCCGCACGCACACACATGCTCACACATCCCTCCCCTCACACACAGCCCTCACACCCACAGACACCCCCCCACACAGACACACACGCACCCCCTCCCCTCACATCCGCACGCACACACATGCTCACACATCCCTCCCCTCACACACAGCCCTCACACCCACAGACACCCCCCCACACACAGACACACACGCACCCCCCTCCCCTCACATTCACACGCACACACATCCCTCCCCTCACACACAGCCCTCACACCCACAGACACCCCCCCACACACAGACACACACGCACCCCCCTCCCCTCACATCCGCACGCACACACATGCTCACACATCCCTCCCCTCACACACAGCCCTCACACCCACAGACACCCCCCCCCCACAGACACACACGCACCCCCCTCCCCTCACATCCGCACGCACACACATGCTCACACATCCCTCCCCTCACACACAGCCCTCACACCCACAGACATCCCCCCCACAGACACACACGCACCCCCTCCCCTCACATCCGCATGCACACACATGCTCACACATCCCTCCCCTCACACACAGCCCTCACACCCACAGACACCCCCCCACACACAGACACACACGCACGCCCCTCCCCTCACATCCGCACGCACACACATGCTCACACATCCCTCCCCTCACACACAGCCCTCACACCCACAGACACCCCTGTGACGAAGTGGGGCTGTTCTTAATGTTTCCTCTGAATAGTGTGGGGGTGCCTCAGTTTCCCCTAGGCAGTTCTTAAGTATCTAGGGGGTGGAGTAAGGGTGTATGATCATTGCAGAGCCCTAGAGGGCAGGTGTGTGCAGGAGTCTGGACACAGAGAATGGCCGACACCCTGTTTCCTGGCAACTGATGGCCTGGGCCCTTCCCCCCCTGCAAGGTGAGAGCTGAAGGGTTGGAGAACAAAGGAATCCGGTGACCACCTGGCCCGGGAAAGGGACAAAGCCCAGAGGAGGAGGGGCTGGAGGGGGTTTTCAGTTTGGGGCTGGCTGGGACATGGAGTGAAGTGCAGACGTGGTTGTCTGGCTCACTGCCCCCCAAAATGGACCCAGCTGAGGGGTCCCGTTCTCTGCACCTGCAAGCTCTGTGTTAGACCATCTTCCTGTCGTCTAATAAACCTTCTGTTTTACTGGCTGGCTGAGAGTCACGTCTGACTGCGAAGTGGGGGTGCAGGACCCTCTGGCTTCCCCAGGAGCCCCGCCTGAGCGGACTCGCTGGGGGGAAGCGCACGGAGGGGCAGAGGAGGCTGAATGCTCCGAGGTCAGACCCAGGAAGGGGGAAGCCGGGTGAGCTGCGTGTCCTGCAGACAGGCTGCTCACAGAAAGGCGACTGCCCCAGAGTCCTGACTGGCTTCATGGGGAGCAGTTCCAGAGCATCGCCCAGGGACTCCGTGACAACCCCCCCCACACACAGACACACACGCACGCCCCTCCCCTCACATCCGCACGCACACACATGCTCACACATCCCTCCCCTCACACCCACAGACACCCCCCCACACACAGCCCTCACACCCACAGACACCCCCCCACACACACCCCCCCCCCCTCATGCATGTGTACACACCCACCCGTAACCGTGCAAGACTCAACCCTGCTGGTTGTCCGGAAATTAGCTCTTTTTGCCAGCTCCGGAGCACCCTCTGCAGGCCAGGGCCATCGCCAGCCCCCGTGTCCCTCCCAGATCCTGGTGCCCCTTTATCTGGGGCTTCTGCCCCAGCAGTATCCCCCCCCTACTGCCAGCCATCGTCTAGCCCCCGCTCCCCGGGGGAGACTGCAGTATAAGAGCCAGTCACCATAGGCAAGGGGGGTAGGACCGACTGCCTCTACCTAGCCCCGGGCTGCCCCTTCGCAGCCCCAGAGCCTGTTTAGGCCCCACACAAGGCCCTGCAGCCTGGGGGGTTGTCAGGCTGGAGCTCCCCAGGGCTGCTCTACTATGATAGCTTGCTCTGTCCCCAGGCACCCAGGTCCTTCCCTCCCTACAGCGGCAGCCTGAGCGCCTGGCTCTCGCCTTTCCTGGGGCCCAGCTGCGCCCTGCCTGGGGCATGGCCCAGCTGGAGCTGCTTCCCCAGTCAGTGGAGGCTTGCTGCTTTCCTCAGCAGCAGCCCTCTTGAGCCACAGCCCTCTCCCAGGGCTGGGTCCAAGCCCTTTCAGCCCCGGAGCGGGTCGGTCGGTCTCTCTCACACACACCCACAGAGCTGAGGAGGTGGGAATGGACTTGCTGGCACCGCTCCCCTTCTGGATGGGGGCTGCATGGACAAAGGCGGTAGGTAGGGGGCAGGTGCAGGGAGCTGCAGGAAGTGGCAGGACAGCAGGCACCCCGGGAAGAGGGAGCCAGGGCAGCGGGGTGATCCTGGCACGGGCGTGGAGCCGTCTCGAGGTGGCACGGCTGACACAGAAGGAGGAAAGGGAAAGGCGGCGGAGGTCCAGGGCAAGGCTCCTAAGGCCCCTGGGCCTTCGGGGAAAGTGGGGGTGGAGGGGGAAGGGATGGAGATCAGGGCAGTGAGTGGGGGCGCCGGCCTCACAGGTCTCTGACCTGGCTCGGGTGCCCTGCCCTAGTTTGGCTGCGGAGGGCGAGGGCTGGATGTGTCGGTTCCCTCAGAGCCAGGGCAATCCTTGCCCTGGGGACTCTGGCTCCGAAGCCTCTGCTGGGGTAGACGGGCAGGACCAGAGGGCGACAGGGGTGGCCTGGCTCTCAGCAGGGGTGTGCAGCAGGTACGCGCTGGAAGGGGGAATTGAGTGGGGGCATTCCCAGATCCCACAGGCAAGCAGTCTTGCCTTGAATAGTGGCAACAAATTAGGGTGCAAAGAATGACCTGGTTTCCCCCAGGCTGTGCTGCCATGGGGTCTGCAGGACAGGGAGCGACGCAGAAGAAGGGGGAGGGACAGGCAAGTTGGGGGAGGGGATATTGTTGTTGTGGATTTTTCTCTCACGCCAGTGGGGCTGGGTTTAATGCGTGTGACCGAGTTAGCCACGTCTTGGGCCTCAGTTTCCCAGGCTGAGTTGAATTTGCTGGAGGGAACAGAAGGTCTCTTTGGTAACAGTGACTCTGAACACACACCGTGTCCAGACGTGGCAGGGCAGGCCCTAGAAGTTGGCTGCCGTTGGCCGCGTGCAGGGCATTGGGGTTTTACCACGAGGTTCCAGACAGCAGAGGGCTGCGAACACACATCCCCGGGGAAGAGGAGGGGCTGCTCTTTCTGGGCGGTTGGTGAAGGCACTACAGACAGCATGGGGATTACTTTCTGTGTGTGTAAGGTGGCCATGCCCAGGATAGGATTTGTCCTGGAAGAGCTGCCGGTGGAGGATGGGCTGGGGGGGTCTCTTACTCACTAGCAGACATGTCTGGAAGCCCTGGTCATGCATAGGAGAGGGTCTCATTGTTCGAGGATGGGAGTGCCTGCGTGTTTACACTGACTCTGGTGCTTCTGGGCGGGAGGGGATTTAGCTTCCAGTGCAGGGTGGAAGAGAAGGAGCTGGGCTGAAGGATGCAGGCCGGCAAAGACGGGATGCTGGGATGCTGCAGCAGGTTTGAAAAACGCATCTGTTTGCAGGCAGCAGCGTCGTCTGGCGGTTCCAGTCCCAGCCCGGGGAGCGAGACAGGCCTTATCGCACGAGTGCCGCTCACAGGGTTCACCTGTATTCACAGGGGACGAGGAGCCTGAATTGCTACGACCTACGTAAAGGAGGGGATACAGTGTGTGGGCTATTCTGCCCTGCCTAGAGATGTCTCGGACGTTGTCTGGGTCGTACATCCTGGCACATGGACTCACCCAGCACCTTTGGGACCAGTACATGGAAGATAACCCCAGCCCTGGGAGGGAAATCAGGAGCGTGCCTGGCCATTTGCCTTTCTCTCTGCGGCTGGGGATGCGGAAGTGTTGCAGGATGTTATCCTTCCTTGGCAGCAGGGTGGGAAGCCAGAGGTTAGGGAAAGTTTCTCACATGCTTCAGGCGGATCCCAGGGGAGAAGGAAGGGACCTCGAGCCTGCAAACTCTCTTCAAGCAATGATTGGAGGAAGTGTAGGAAAGAGAAATCTGCCCTGAAGGCGGCTATGAGAGAATTTCACAGCCAGAGGTTTAAAGCCCAAGGCTGTCATGATGTTTGGGACGGGCCCAGGGAGGAAAAAGGTCCAGTGGCAAGGGGGCAGCCAGACTCTGGGTTCTGCGGGGGGCCAGGCAGCCCCAGTGACTCAGCGTAGGGCTGCGTGGCGTAACGCTAAGGAAAGGCAGGGAGCCCCAGGTACGCTGGGCTTGGGGGATTCAAAGGGGCACTTAAGGACAGTCCCAGAAGGGATGCTCAGAATCATTTTCGAGTATTACTCAGATCTTTTCCGAGCCGCGGGGAAGGAAGGAGGCGCCCATGGGACAGTGGGAACGGGGATCACAAGAGTCAAAGGCCAAGAGAGTAAGCACGAGAGATGAGTGGAGATTAACTTTGTTCTGGGGTCTCTGGTGCTACCAAGGGTCACTCCAGATCCGGAGGACAGTGTGAGGGCCCCGATCAACTGTCTGGAAGGGGTGGGGGCAGTTTTGTTTCTCCAGGCACAGATGGTCGGACAGGTGAGCAGTACCAGACCTTCCCAAACGTGTTTGCTAGAATGCCAACTGGGGTGTTCGGTCAAACTCCGATTACAAGGGAACTGATGGAGTCCTTAAGTACAGGAGTCCTCATCTTGGTGGGCACGATGCGGGATAGACTGCCCCTGGGTAACTCGAGGCCTCTCGCTTTGCCTCATACGGACTGTAAAATCCTGTCCAGGGAGTGGCTTCCGAGGCTTGTCTAGGGCCACATGCTCCCCTCCATTCTGCGAGTGCAGGATGGGCAGGCTAATTGCAGCCTCATTCGCGGATCTCCGTGCAGTGTCTGGTGCCGGGGCACGAGGTCCGCAGGACGGGTCTGAGTAAACCTTTGACCAAGTTGTGCATGACTGTTCCCGCAGCCGGTGTTCCTCTGGTCAGCAGGCGGCAGGGGCCCCCTGCCAGTGTCTCTACATGCCGAGGAGCCCACTGAACCACCATCCTGTGTCTTTGTGGTGGAGCCTCTGATTGGGGGCATGGCTGAAGTGGGGAGTCCTTCCAGACTGGAGGAGCCAGGTCGTCGGGCTGGCAGGAGCCCCCATGCAGGGGTGGTTTGCGGGTGACATTTCAGTGGGTCAGTACTCCTGCTGTGAGCCAGGCCCGAGAGACAAGCAGGGACAGAACTGCAGGGTTCTGCAGGAAGGGGGTGCAGCAGTTGGGTTACTATGCAGTAGCTAGGCAGTTTGAGTGCATTTACATATAGGAAGCATTAAGAAATGTGTGAGGCAGCTTATTAATATTAATGACCAGGGGCCTGGTTATGGACACCTGGAAGGCAACCTGTGGGTAAGGGGCTGGTATTGATTTTGTTATGGTCATGGAAGGTAATCAAATATGGCTAGGTAGCCAACAGGTCCCATCGAAGTGGGGTATAAAAGACTCTGTTTCCTTCCCTATTTCCAGGTTCCGCTGGCTCAGTGTCAGCTGAGGCCTGGCCATCTGTGCCATGCTCCACAAACCAATTCGTTGCCCCATGTCGTCTCCTCTTTGAGGCTCTAGGTATGAAATGCCGCGCCGGGTACCTGGGCTGTTTCTCTGGGTAGCTCTGTGCTGGTTAGTCACTGTGGGCAGGAGAATTGTCTGGGTTCTGTGTGGAGTGAACATTGGATCTAGGCAACTCTCTTGTAAATTATGCCAAGCCCTTAAAGAAAGGGCGGGTTTCTGGGCAAGCCTCCTGTGGGGACTGATCAGCTAGATGTGTGAGCATCACTCAGTGGCCGGCGAGTGTGAAACAGATGGCGTCAGCATTTGTCAGGGCTACCCAGTGCACCAGTCTCTCCCGCGGCACCCCCACTGTGCTCGGTGACCTCCCTGGAAATGTACCGTTTTCTCCCAAACAGCTTCCATGGCCTAATCGCTGTCGTCGGCCTCCAGTCAGGCAGGCCTGGGAATTGTCTGCAACATGGAAACAGGCAGAACTGGAAAGATCTGCCAAGGTGGCTGCCGTCTCTTATAGAAGAACCTGCCCTGGAAACGAGGGGGCAGCGTGTGGGGACCGGGAGATTAACCAGCTGGGTGGCCATTCAGACCTGCCGCTTTCCAGCGCCT